GCAGAGAAGATCAGCGCTGTGTTTGACCCAGTCTCTGCTACTGATAGGGTACTGAGCTAGTGGTCCAATCGCAACGGCAAAGACGAAACGAGCTATGAACTTCAACCTCATACTGGGCCTGCGGTCATTTTTGATGAGCGCCCCTTGCACCCTAAATTGGGAGTGCCTCCGGACGTTGCTACCAGGGTATTGTAGCAGATACCTGAGCGCAGCCGATGCACCAGCACACGCCATCAGTATGGCAAGGACTGCTGCAGAATGAAGTTTTGATGGAAACCTTATGGTCCGGCCGACCATGAGCGAGAAGCACGCCTGACCATCTGGGAAAATCCATTCTGGACGGCAAAAGCAGAGCCTTCCCTAATCGGTCACCAGTGGAAATGAGTCATGAGTCCACTGCGACAACAACATGCGGCACGTCTGATGGCTCGCAGCCAGGAAGCACCAGCTCAACCAAAGCCCGAACTCCGTTTTCTGAGAATATTACTCTCGTTTTGTTGGATTCGCTAGGTGGCCTGGTTTGGGAACCACTTCAATGTATGAAGACAAGCATTGCTAAAGTCAGCGTGGAATAGCCCTCTAGGCTGGCTTCGGTATTGCGAGGGAATCGTCAGAAACGTCTCAGATTCTCCTTTCTCCGAATGTACGCCAGACCTCATTGCAATGCCAACTCACCACGTTCTGAGGGAGATAGCCAGGGCCACGATACCTCATCCACCATATAGCATTGGCATCGCTCTATCGGACTATCGCCTCCCCTGCGCCCTGAATAAGCATCTGCCAGAGAAGAAAGTTAAAGATTGCGACCACCCCAAAAACGACTTCTCCAAATTCTTCAACTTCCAGCTTCCTTCATTCTGGGCTGGAAGCTTCCAAACGCTCACTAGCAATGCACGCATATCAGTGACCATGATGGTGGTTATGCTATTGATCAGTTGTTTCCTAGAAGAGATAAAACTTGAATAAACAAAAGTGTCGAAATTGAGACAGGAATTATGAGACAACCCAACACACATACTGCTGTAAAAATTCCAAGTCGCATCTGGTGAGTGCAGCAGAACTCTACACAATGGCGAAATTCCATGCTTGCTCCAGAGGTTTGAAATTTGGGATAAAGAAGAGGCATGCAATGCAATCCAAGCAAACGCGCGCGTTGTGAACTTCTACGGATAATAACTTTTTCTAAGTCTTCCACGGTCGCGCATAGTTGACGTGCTCAGTCCTGAAACTGCGCCCACACTTAATGTTAGGTGCGGCCATGTTTACTGAGTCGACTGCTAACTATAAGATGGAGGAACCCTTATCGGTTGTCATGGGGAAATACCGAGCATCCGGCTTTTGTAGAGTGTGAGAAGAATATCTTGTGAACCAACCGCTGAGGCCATTTAAGTTTTTGCAGCGATCTTAGTTCCACCTCTTACGTTGGCTTCTCACAAAAACTTAATAAAAAACCACCAAAAAAACAAAAAAGTAATGCAAGCTCGCGTCATTCGCGTATACTTTTAAACTTTTAGAGTGAGCGATCGTTTCCGACTTGAACATATTTTAGTGGGAGGTAAAAGCAGCGAGGAGTGCTTCCTGAATTCGGTGGAGCGCTATGACACTGAAAAAGAGAATCTACTGTGGGAGAGCATCGCTCCAATGAGTACGGTAAGGTACGACATTATGGCTAGTTAGATATTTCGTTTTCAGAAAAAATATTTGAACAAAAAGCAAAAATTAAGCACCACAAAAACCTGGAGAAACCTGGAGAAAATACTTATTTCTTCAGATTGGGCCTGGCGTTGCCGTTCTCGACAACTTACTCTACGCTGTAGGCGGCTCTGATGGGCAGCACGATCTGAGAAGCTCTGAGAGGTACTGTGTGCATTACTATAGAATCAGAAGATTAAAAAGCATAAAAGCATGAAACTTTTATGCTTTCATGCTTTTTATGCTTTTCAAAGCATACTTTTTAAATTAAATTAAGCATAAATTCTTTTAATCTTCTGATTCATTACTATAGAATCAGAAGATTAAAAGTGTGATGATTAATCATGATTTTACTTATCAAATCCCTTCGTGGCTCACTGTGAAATGGACGTAAAAGCCTTTGGCCATATTTCCACTTTTTTCATGTTCGCTTTTTTAACAACGTTATCAGTTAACAACAACATGCACCACAATCATCGTCTCAGGTTGGGCTTCTCTCAGACATCTTCAAGATGCTATTCGTTCTCATAGAACATCTCGCATCTTGACTGAGGCGAAAAGTTGGAAATCGCCTTTTTCTAGTTTCTCAACATTGTTAAACTTTATCTATTTTATGTAAACAGATAAATAGCAGAAGCAGACGGAAGTTTCTTGTGGCAATTCTGTTGAACATATCGGTTGGGTCAGAACGAGAAGAACTAGGTCAGAACGCTAGACAACTTATTTAGGCCCTCAAAGGGCATGCTCTCTCGTGTGCTCTATCTCCGTCGCACCATATACGACCTCATAAAACGTTGAGTCCTTGATTTTTACGTTTTTGATCATTCCTTTTGCTTTCTTTTTCACTTTCAGCCCACTCTTTCGGCTCACTAAACTGTGCACATCATTAAGCGCTTTTACTCACAACCAATTTTATCCCGGATCTTGCTCTCGAGTTTGAGAACTATTTTCTCGACCCTAATCGTTGTGAACGCTCTGGCAGATATGGCATGAAAAGCGCATTGGCTAGCTTTCACATATGATCCGCAATATCGAAACCAATTCCAAAGCAGCAGTTAAAAGCGGTTTTGCATAGTCACAGCTAATGTCTCTGGGAAGCTATTCAACAGTTAATCCATTGAAGAAATTATGTAGCAGCTTCAGGCCGGAGCGATTACGGTAAGCCTCGTTGAGCTCGACGGTGACGGCAGATGACGTCATATTCTGAAGACGGCGGGGGCAGT